GGACGGTTGTTAGTCTGGACGGTTGTGAGTCTGGATGGGTGAGAGTCTGGACGGGTGAGAGTCTGGATGGGTGAGAGTCTGGACAGGTGAGGGCCTGGACGGGTGAGAGTCTGGATGGGTGAGAGTCTGGACAGGTGAGGGCCTGGACGGGTCAGAGTCTGGACGGGTGAGAGTCTGATGGGTGAGGGTCTAGACGGGTGAGTGTCTGACGGGTGAGAGTCTGGACGGTTGTGAGTCTGGATGGGTGGGAGTCTGGACGGTTGTGAGTCTGGACGGGTGAGGGCCTGGACGGTTGTGAGTCTGGACGGGTGGGAGTCTGGACGGGTGAGAGTATGGACGGGTGAGAACCTGGACGGGTGAGAATCTGGATGGGTGAGAGTCTGGACGGGTGAGAGTCTGGACGGTTGTGAGTCTGGACGGTTGTGAGTCTGGATGGGTGAGAGTCTGGACGGGTGAGAGTCTGGATGGGTGAGAGTCTGGACAGGTGAGGGCCTGGACGGGTGAGAGTCTGGATGGGTGAGAGTCTGGACAGGTGAGGGCCTGGACGGGTGAGAGTCTGGACGGGTGAGAGTCTGACAGGTGAGGGTCTGGAAGGGGTGAGGGTCTGACGGGTGAGAGTCTGGACGGTTGTGAGTCTGGATGGGTGGGAGTCTGGACGGTTGTGAGTCTGGACGGGTGAGAGTCTGGATGGGTGAGAGTCTGGATGGGTGAGAACCTGGACGGGTGAGAGTCTGGACAGGTGAGGGCCTGGACGGTTGTGAGTCTGGACGGGTGAGAGTCTGGACGGGTGAGAGTCTGGATGGGTGAGAGTCTGGACGGGTGAGGGCCTGGACGGTTGTGAGTCTGGACGGGTGAGAGTCTGGACGGGTGAGGGCCTGGACGGTTGTGAGTCTGGATGGGTGGGAGTCTGGACGGTTGTGAGTCTGGACAGTTGTGAGTCTGGATGGGTAAGAGCCTGAAAGGGTGAGGGTCTGGACGGGTAAGAGGCCTGAATGGGTGAGAGCCTGGACGGGTGAGATTTTAGACGGGTGAGATGCTGGACGGGTGAGGGTCTAGATGGGTGAGGGCCTGAACGGGTGAGGATCTGGACGGGTGAGGGTCTGGACAGGTGAGGGCCTGGACGGTTGTGAGTCTGGACAGGTGGGAGTCTGGACGGGTGAGGGTTTGAACGGGTGGGAGTCTGGACGGGTGAGTACCTGGACGGGTGAGAGTCTGGACGGTTGTGAGTCTGGACGGTTGTGAGTCTGGACGGGTGGGAGTCTGGACGGGTGAGAGTCTGGACGGGTGAGAGTCTGGACGGGTGAGAGTCTGGACGGTTGTTAGTCTGGACGGGTGAGTGTCTGAACGGGTGAGGGCCTGGACGGTTGTGAGTCTGGACGGTTGTGAGTCTCAATGGTGAGAGTCTGGACGGGTGAGAGTATGGATGGGTGAGCGTCTGGACGGGTGAGGGTCTGGACGGGTGAAAGTATGGACGGGTGGGAACCTGGACGGGTGAGAACCTGGACGGGTGAGTGTCTGGACGGGTGAGAGTCTGGACGGTTGTGAGTCTGGACGGTTGTGAGTCTGGACGGGTGAGGGCCTGGACGGGTGAGAGTCTGGATGGGTGAGAGTCTGGACAGGTGAGGGACTGGACGGGTGAGAGTCTGGATGGGTGAGAGTCTGGATGGGTGAGAACCTGGACGGGTGAGAGTCTGGACAGGTGAGGGCCTGGACGGTTGTGAGTCTGGACGGGTGAGAGTCTGGACGGTTGTGAGTCTGGACAGTTGTGAGTCTGGATGGGTGAGAGCCTGAACAGGTGAGAGTCTAGACGGGTAAGAGGCCTGAATGGGTGAGAGCCTGGACGGGTGAGATTTTGGACGGGTGAGTGCCTGAACGGATGAGCGTGTAGATGGGTAAGAACCTGGACGGGTGAGAGCCTGGAAGGGTGAGGGTCTAGATGGGTGAGAGCCTGAACGGGTGAGGGTCTGGACGGGTGAGAGTCTGGATAAGTGAGAGTCTGGGCGGTTGTGAGTCTGGACAGGTGAGAGTCTGGACGGGTGGGAGCCTTGAGCTGCTGCTTGACGGTGGATGGTGTTTGGATGTTGCGAATGGGAGAGTACCCGACGATCGGTGCACCTACGGGAAAACGCCGTTCAGCTCGGACTACCCTGTTTCTGGGTACGATCGGTGCACCAATGGGAAAACGCCGTTCAGCTCGAACTACCCTGTTTCTGGGTACGATGAGAAGATTGTTGAACGTACTCTGTCGGACGTGGCGATTTGCTGTAGTTAGTGAAATGAGAAGGATGGAGAGATAACATGTATGTCAATTGATACCCTGGACACCCTTACAACTCAGATGTTCTACCTCAAGGCATTTTCTTTTTGAAATATTTGAATAAATAACTATTAAAAAAACATGTTAAAATTATCGAAAGTAACGTTTTTTTGAAAGACGTTAAAATATTCACATTTCTTCCAAGTTTTCAAATGGTGTAGGCACAAGAACAATGTATTTATATCTTGAGTTGTGGATGTAATTGGTGCCAGGGTTAAATGTTTGTTAATACAAAGCATTTTTCTAAGTATGTTTGAAGGACCCAATGTACTCTGCTGTGTTTCAGGAATGCACTCCTGTAACACACAAATCATACTACGCCCCTCTGTTGCATTTACATGATCCGTGATGTTTTTTTAATTGAGAAAAGCATGCTCTTGGTAATGCTGTATCGTGTTTCATAGCACTAGATCCATAGTCTGATGAAAAAATGTTAACGAGCATTGAAAGTGGGTTTTTTCACGTTTGAGCAGAAATGGTTTATGTGGCCACATGCATTAAGACATTTCGAGGTTTCAAGGCAGAATAAATCATACGTGACAATGCGCTGTAAACAATTTCAGTGATCCATGTGCAGTTTTGGCATTAGCGCCAGTTTGCCTTGTACGTGGAAGTTGGGCAGCGAATGTGCGAAGTTAAATGTGGTGCGATTATATCACTGGCCTACATGTTGAGCAATTGTGGGCTTAAGGCCATCAACAACCATCACCGGAAAACTCTGCGGACCAATCAGTGGGCGGGTTGTTGATCGTAAAGTCATAAAAGCTATGGCAGATGTCAAAAGAAAGCCACTCCGGGTCCAATGGCAAGCGTGAAAGAGAGACGGGGTTGTCCGTGCCTACGCACGGTGCTTGGCAAGTTTTTATTTTTCTCTGAGGTTTTATTTCTGTGGAAACTGCCGGGTGTGCCTGCGCTGCCTGTGATACGCACAGCAAGTTGGCGCTGTCCATGCCAAGGCTTGCAGAAGGGCCGCGTCTTCCGTGGCGTGTGGTTTCCTGCCAATGCATGCCGACAGCGAGTTCTGGTGCAGTGCGCTCTCTCTCTCTCGCGCGCGTTTACCGTCCACTGTAGTGGCAGACTTGAAGGGCTTTGGTTTTGAGTTGTGGTATGAACAGAATATCCTCGCGGTGTAATGTCTCGAATGGGTTGCTTCGCCGAGTCTTGTGTTCGAGGACATTTTTAAGTTTGGCTCTGTCCTAGGTTATAAAGGGACTATTTACAGCCTAGGCCTGAGGATCTGGCAGTGGTGGCGGACATGTGGCCAGAATTCAGGCTCGAGCGAGGAGGCCTAATTGTTCCGCCATGCTGTCTTTGTGTCTTAAGTATATATTTTGCTTGCTACAATGTGCATTCAGTGTGTGTGTGTGTGTACTTATTCTGTAGGAATTAATGGTCTGTACACCAATATATGTTTAAACTAATGGTGCTGTTTTTCCACAACTTTTTTTTGCCAGTTTAACGAGCAGGTGAAACTAGTTGTAAGTTGATATACCATTTATAGATTCTGCTTGTTATGTGCGTGTTTATTTCACAAGTCAATAATTACTCTGTGAGTGACCGTACGTTTATGAATTAACATACCAGTATTTGACAACTCACTTTCACCAGGAGAAAGCTTAAAGATGGTTTATCTCATCTAAAAGAGGCCTGCAAAAATATAACTACGGTATGTAGGGTAAGTTCAGATTTCTAATGAGAGGTTTATTCAATACTTTGGTTTGGGGTCAGAAACGCACGAATAATGCCTAATGTTTGTAAACGCTGAAATCGAAAGTTCGTTTACAGTCACTTTACAGGAGATGGGGCATGATGGTAAGTTTGTGTATAAATGCCCAGGTTGCTGCTGGGATCAAACTCGATGGAACCTCGCAAACTCACCTAGTGGTGAGGACACTCACCACAGCACACTCACCACTGTGGTGAGCACACCTACCGCTATTCTGTGCCATGGCGCTCTTCAGGTAGCTGTTTATTTTTGTATTTGTTAACAGCATTACAAACACGTTCTAGCAGTTTTTCTTTGCTCGTTCTTGAAACATAATTGTAACAATATTTACAACAAAATTGCAGCAATAACATTTAATAATTAACCTATGGAGCAAATTTTAAAACATTTGTATAGACAGCAGCTGAAATGACCAAAAATTTAATTAAGAAATTACCAGAAGTTACAATAGGCCGACGTACAATATACCTGACATCACTATTGTACCAACATAATATCATGCACATTTCGCCTATGGGTGTAATTATATGGCAATATATTTCTTTTTGTTTTCATTATTGTTTTATTGTGCTCATGCCAGCGGTTGCAATCCTACATTTGATATTCAGCAGCAAGGGCACCCTGGCTCTTGAAGGTGTCTCATCTCATCCCATCAGTAGTGACCGCTTGATATGTTAAGACCAAATGAGATGGCAGGCAGTGCCCCTCTCGTATCACAGGGCCTGCCGCTGACATCGTACGTTTGCCATGCGCGTGCATTCAAATGTATTTTGTATAACCAGGTAAACGCTCAAGAGACAAAGATTCGTTTGTTGTCTGTCCCCCGCACCTGTGATTTGCACGGTTGTCTACGTACGGTGCGAAAGAAGTTCAACATACATAGTCTCGTTTGCGAGAGTGATATGTGTGCCTTTTTTGCGTGCGTGTGTGTGTGCTGCATTTGCGGGGGGGGCACAGGGGCGGTGTGGAGAGCAGCGCCCCCCCGTACAGCGAGCAGCAGCAGGTGGTGGGCGGCGGCGGAGCCATGTCGGCCATGGGCTTGACAGAGCCACGCCACGTCAGCTCCGGATCGCTACCCAGCAGCACGAGGCCCGAGCGCAGCACCCAGTTCTGTGCCGTGTGCAGCGACTATGCCTCGGGGTACCACTACGGCGTGTGGTCCTGCGAGGGCTGCAAAGCCTTCTTCAAGCGCAGCACGCAAGGTGGGGGGGGGGCGGTGGATGCTCGTAAAATATCGCCGGAGGAGCCGGGGGAGTGTGGGTGTAGCTGGCGCTCTTGGGGGATGGTGTGGGCATGAGGTTTGTGGGAGTGGATCCGGGTTTTCTGGTAGCCGACTGGAAAGCATCTTGTCCCAGGGAGGACGGGAACAAGCCACGACACGCGGAATGTGGGACGGACGTCCCCACCCCTCGGCTGAGTCAATTACTTGGAAATCTGCATGGTGCTAGTACAGGAAAATGCAGCATAATGCCAATAAAGGTTTTTGGGCTGAATCGTCTGCAATTATATTCGTTTATATTTTGTTATTGTTTGTTTACCTCAGAAAGCCTCACTGAGTCTCAATAATTTTTTTCAAATGGTTTTCTCAGGAGGGGGCAATGTCACTACGTGGAATCCCATGTGAGTAATTTGCTGGTAATTTTCAACATTGTGATGATCGGCCAATAGAAGCTACATTTTGTGTGTTTTCGCTATGGGAGGACACTGGAGAACCCTGAGAAAACCCATGTAGAACAGGGGGAGATCATACAAATTCCAAACAGGAAGGTGCCTTAGTCAACAATCAACCCCAAACCCTTCTTGCTGTAAGACACGAGTGTTGCCACTTTGCCACCCTGCCGCAAAAATTGCTCGATCATAAAAATGTTGTATCGTATCGATAAATACTTTTGGGCTGCAATGTTCAGTAAGTTTATACCACTGTACATTTAATTGCTTTTATGCTAACTTTTGTTATTAAATTAAGAAGCCCTCTTGTAGTTATCACAACACAACAATAAAATCCACGTAATTTAAAACACTTGCAGTCCATTATTGTTTTCGCCATGTTTGTCATTGGAAGTTTGACAAAAAACTTTTTGTGCTTTTCAGTAATTGCAATGTTGATAAAAAAAAACAGACCAGCCTTGTGTTTCTGTGCCTTAACCTGTTCTCATAAAAACCCACGGCAGACTTTCAGAAGCGGCAATAAAAACAAGATAATTTTTTGGATGATGTCATCATCGCTAGCCGTGATCAGGCCACTGGTGGATGGATGCGTCCCCAAGCCATTACTATCTCTCACGACCGGTGTGATCACCCAGCACCTGCGCAAGAGTTATTCCCTCGCTGCGTCTTATTAGTGGGCATGCTCACATACTCTCGTGCTCAAATCTCAATGCATCCCTACACTTGACCCTTGCCATTATCCTGCCCAGATGTAAATGCAGTTATTGAAAATCATCAAACAATTATGCCACTACATTGGCGTGAGTGCATAAGCACAAATAAGCAAAAAATAATGTTTATCATTAATACTACCTTATAAACATATAGAATATATACAGTGAGAGAAAAAAGTATTTGATCCCCTGCTGATTTTGTACGTTTGCCCACTGACAAAGAAATGATCAGTCTATAATTTTAATGGTAGGTTTATTTGAACAGTGAGAGACAGAATAACAACAAGAAAATCCAGAAAACTCAGGTCAAAAATGTTATAAATTGATTTGCATTTTAATGAGGGAAATAAGTATTTGACCCCCTCTCAATCAGAAAGATTTCTGGCTCCCAGGTGTCTTTTATACAGGTAACGAGCTGAGATTAGGAGCACACTCTTAAAGGGAGTGCTCCTAATCTCAGCTTGTTACCTGTATAAAAGACACCTGTCCACAGAAGCAATCAATCAATCAGATTCCAAACTCTTCACCATGGCCAAGACCAAAGAGCTCTCCAAGGATGTCAGGGACAAGATTGTAGACCTACACAAGGCTGGAATGGGCTACAAGACCATTGCCAAGCATCTTGGTGAGAAGGTGACAACAGTTGGTGCGATTATTCGCAAATGGAAGAAACACAAAAGAACTGTCAATCTCCATCGCCCTGGGGCTCCATGCAAGATCTCACCTCGTGGAGTTGCAATGATCATGAGAACGGTGAGGAATCAGCCTAGAACTACACGGGAGGATCTTGTCAATGATCTCAAGGCAGCTGGGACCATAGTCACCAAGAATACAATTGGTAACACACTACGCCGTGAAGGACTGAAATGCTGCAGCGCCTGCAAGGTCCCCCTGCTCAAGAAAGCACATATACATGCCCGTCTGAAGTTTGCCAATGAACATCTGAATGATTCGGAGGACAACTGGGTGAAAGTGTTGTGGTCAGATGAGACCAAAATGGAGCTCTTTGGCATCAACTCAACTCACCGTGTTTGGAGGAGGAGGAATGCTGCCTATGACCCCAAGAACACCATCCCCACCGTCAAACATGGAGATGGAAATATTATGCTTTGGGGGTGTTTTTCTGCTAAGCGGACAGGACAACTTCACCTTATCAAAGGGACGATGGACGGGGCCATGTATCGTCAAATCTTGGGTGAGAACCTCCTTCCCTTAGCCAGGGCATTAAAAATGGGTCGTGGATGGGTATTCCAGAATGACAATAACCCAAAACACACGGCCAAGGCAACAAAGGAGTGGCTCAAGAAGAAGCACATTAAGGTTCTGGAGTGGCCTAGCCAGTTTCCAGACCTTAATCCCATAGAAAATCTGTGGAGAGAACTGAAGGTTCAAATCAATTTATAACATTTTTGACATGCGTTTTTCTGGATTTTTTTTGTTGTTATTCTGTCTCTCACTGTTCAAATAAACCTACCATTAAAATGATAGACTGATCATTTCTTTGTCAGTGGGCAAACGTACAAAATCAGCAGGGGATCAAATACTTTCTTCCCTCACTGTAACAGGCTGACATTTCCAGGAATGGTCCTTCGTCAGGAGAGAGAAAGGACTCTGCCCTTTCTATATTTACATTTTAGTAGTAGAAGTACATTGAGTTTCGATTTAAAGCTTTCGTGACTGCAAGGATTAATCTTCTTTGGTTCTTTCGGTAAAGTCACGTAGAATGAGAATAAAATAATAAATTGATAAAATAAATAACACAATAATATTCTCACGACGTTTCGGCCACAACACAAGCGGCCTTCATTAGGTGAAGGGACGAGACTGTCTGGAGGACAGCGCTGGAGTGAAAAAGCCACGCTCAGATCACGACCTTTAAGCTGTGTGAGAAGAAACAAAGCGCCTTGACAAAGGAATTAGCATATAATTTAGCATTGAAATGGCTGAGTGATTAGCTTGTGACTGGTCACAGAAATGGCTATGTTAAAGTTAAAGCATACACATCCGCAGAGGCACCCCTTGACAAAGGAATTAGCATAGAATTTAGCATTGCAATAGTTAAGTTAAAGTATACACATTGAGGTTTCTTAATAATTAATTTGAAGTTTAAATATGCATTCTTTTCCATGAACAGATATTAAAGAAAACAACAAATTTCCGTCAAACCGTCAAATAAAAGCAACTGGATATGAATCAATAGAGGCGGTCCTTGACTCAAGTTGGTTCGGCGCGAGTCGATCCACACTTCCGGGCAGGTCGCTATTTTTGACCAAAGTCATGACTCACGGTGGTCGTTCCGCAATTATGGCACGACACTGACCCAGGTGCTGACAAACGGCACGTCGTCCAGTCTGTCATCCTTAAAAATGGCTGATAAAAGGAAAGGTGAGTGCTCTCGCGATGGTGTTGAAAATAAACGTAGCACAAAGGCCATTCAATCCTTGTTGGACCAAATCTTCAATTATTGCAATGGTATCGGGCACAGGAACTTTGGTGAACAAAGAGACTACATCGAAACTAACGAGCAAATCACCTGGGGACTGTGATATATCTTTAATTGATGATACCAGGTGAGCTGAGTTAAGAACAGAAGAGATGGTCTTACCAGTGAATGGCTGCAAGGTCTCAGGCAGATATCGGGCCAGTTTGTAGGTGGGTGAGCCAAAGGTGGAGACAATGGGATGAAGGGGTATACCTTTATGGATTTTTGGTAAGCCATATAGTCGGTGGTCTAGCAGCAGAGGGTTTTAAGGAAAACCGTTTGGTCTGTTCAATTAATGAAGATGAATCAGTGATGATACTGTTTTTGTAATGAGGCAGTTGGTGGGATTTCTATTAATTTTTGTGTAGCTACCATCATTAAGTAGGTCCTGAATTTTGTTATTGTACACGTTTTTGTCCATGATGACCGTGGCATTGCCCTTGTCAGCTGAGAGGATGACGATATATTTCCTCTTTTTTAATTGAGATAACTCAAAACACTCCTCCTTACTGATGTTGCTGACTGGTATCTTAGCGCTTTTGAGGTGTGCAGCTATTTCAGGTCTTGCTGATGTACCAGCCCTGATGAGACACTGCCTGACCAATACATACTTCACATGGGGTGGAACATTCTACAAACAAACGGAAGGCACCCTAATGGGTTCTCCCTTATCTCCGGTTGTGGTCAACATTTTCACGGAAAAATTGAGACGGACGCCATCCAGGCATCCACTCTACGCCCGTCCTTGTGGAAGAGGTATGTGGATGACACGTTTGTCATCTGGCCACATGGCCGACCCGCTCTGAAACAATTCCTCAACCACATCAATTCCATACACCCAGCAATCAAATTCACCATGGAGGTAGAAAAGGATGGCATGCTACCTTTCTTGGATGTCCTAATCAAGAAGAGACCAGATGGCTCAATGAGCCATTCTGTCTACAGGAAAGTAACCCATACTGATGCCTACCTAAAACCTGATTCCCACCACCATCCATCCCAGAAGAATTCCCTGATCAAAACGCTACACCATAGAGCTCAATGTATCTCCGACCATGAACACCTAACCAGTGAACTCAAACACGTACACCAAGCTCTCAAGGCGAATGGATATTCTGACTACACAATCCGCAAAGCCATCACCTCAACCGTGAGGAAGGAGCCATCTGAAGATCCAATCAAAACCACCTTGCCTTACATAGCAGGGATAACCAAAAATATTTCCAAAATCTTGAACAAACACAAGATCCAGGTCCGATTTAACACAGTGCATAAAATTCGTGATCTGATCCCATCTGTGAAGGACAAGATTCCTGACATGCAATATCCCGGCGTCTAC